TTGGTCCAACTTCCATACTCAGCCTTGTGATGTTTATCTTTAGCTGAATATTAATATTTGAACTTGCCAAAGAAATATATYGTGTATCCTTCAGGAAATTCTGTAATTTTACTCAAAACTGGGCTTGGGGTAGGATTGTGCAGCAGACACTYTGTTGTGTCTATTTAGATCAAATGTATACTGAGCCTAGTGTAGAGTTAGTTATCTTAGAGATTCATAATGTGAGTAGATGATGCTCCTACCCATCTCTTTTTGCCTTTCRTGGAGATGTATGGAGTGTCAGGTGCCTATGAAATAACCTGCATTTTCCAGGAAAAAAAAATTTTCTTCAAGCTTTTCTATACCATCCCAACACATACCCTGTGCTCACTATTTAGTAACAATAGTGTATCTCTCTTTAGTAAGTATTGGATTCTTATTTTAGATATATAATTTGATCTTCCGAATGACATGTTTTCCTCATGAGTAACAGTGGAATAGTATTTCATTGTTCTAATGTTCTGTACCTTACAAATAGAATAAATTGATAGGAAGAATCTTGTCACATCAGCATGTCATCTTGAAGTAACAGGAAACCTGACAAAAAAGCTTAAACAGGGCATCAAAAGAAATTGTGTAGTTTTATTCAATGTTACAGGCTTATTACCTTGCAGAGTAAATGTCGTTAGAAGTTCTGATCAGTGAAGGAAAGAAGAGTAAGAAATGATTTTTCTAGTGATGAAATAATAATTTTACATTTAAAATTGGTCSGTCTTGGTGCTTCTGCCCAGAATCATGTGGCATGGTAAAGAAGCAGGTAATTGTGCTCATCCAGGGTGTGGACTTCTAGATGAGTGTGAAAAGGAGAGACAGGTGCTTGCAGAGAGACAAAAGCTGATGGAGAAGTGGGGAAGTGGATTGTTGGTTGTTGAAATCAGTGTTAAAAGAGGCCTCAATGGGGGCAAGTCTATTTTCCTGTGGAAATGTTGGGGTGAGTTAGAAGAGAAAGTTTGTTGGAAAGTGAGGTGTGAGAACTAGTGATCTGKAGGTGCTAAGACATGGAGAAGTCAAATGCAAGGTGTGATTGGGAAAGGCTGAGGGAAAGGAGTAGAGATTTTGAGTTAAAGGAATTTAGAAGTCAGATGAGCTGTTTGCTTCAGGTCCGTAGCCCTACTTCAGCACCTCTCAGTGATTTTCCTCTCACTTAGTGTTCTTCAGACCTTGGAAAGCAGTTACCCAGTATCTCCTTATAAGGAACTTGAAAAGYTGTACCACCTTAGCTTATGATTCCCAGGCCTTTTTCTCTAGACATCAGATATTTAATCAGCTCCAGACAKCTATTTTCGCTCACTATATACACATAGTGATTATGATATTTTGTATTTAACTAATGAAAGATATTGTAGGAAACAGATATGTAAAGCATTGTTTTACCTAGTACAATGATGCTGGCAGTAGTGCTGTGCTCAACACATCACCCACTGTCTTCCTCAGAAGAATCTGGCTGCATGCAGTGGTGCCCCTTTGACTGACTTTCCTCTTATATTTTGTAAAGAGCTRGAGTTGCCTCTGTACCTTACCAGTTGATCACGTCTCATTGAGACATCTTATTAATATCCTGCCCTATGCATTCATTTGCCTTTAGTCCCTAATCTTTTTCCCCAAGTTACAGCAGCAGCCTCCCTACCACCCTCCTTGTGTCTAGTTTTAGATCYTCCCTTACATTTCTGTAGCCTGGCCTAAAGTGGAGCTTTTAATAGTTTAGTTACATTCCTACTTATTATTCTTAAATGACACAGTTGGTTTCCACTGTTTTCATTTGACTCAAGCTGTACCAAACTGTTTTCCATTCTTTCTTTTTGTTAGTACTGGGAATCAAACCCAGGACCTTGTGCATACGAGGCAAGCACTCTACCAACTGAGCTATATCCCAGCCCTATTTTCCATTCTTAAGGAATGCCAAAGAACTTGTCTTTTCTCCTTTTTCCTTTTCTGCCTTTTGACTTCCTTTTAAGAAAATGTTTGGTGTAACAATGATGGAGCCTTTCTAACCCTCTGATAAATTTAAATCCCTATCCATTATGTTTTCATTAACTGATACTCAATCTCCCTGAGATAAACTAGGAAGGAARAGAAAACCTGTGAATCCAGGGTGGAAACCAGAGCAGTTTTATGCTCTTTCTTCCTACCTTATAATTTTACTAACASTAAATACAGTTTGTTACATAGTCAACCAGCCACTGTGCTCCAAGTTTTATGTGTTTTATTTTGTTTAAGCTTTGCATCAACTCTTTGAGGTGGGTTCAGTTATTATCCTCATCTGAAAAATAYAGTCCTAGGGCTTGGGCTATAGCAGTGGCAGAGCACTTGCCTAGCATGTGTGAGGCACTGGGTTCGATCCTCAGCAAAACATAAAAATAAACAAATAAAATAAAGACAAGCTGTCCATCTACAACTACAAAATAAAAAATAATTTTAAAAAAGCCCAATGAAATGACATTGCTCAAGGTCCTAACACTTGAAACTGAAGAAGGCAGACAGAGTCCAGTAAAATACAGATCTTACTTGAGAAAGCCATGTTCTTAATGTCTATTCAGAACTGCCTCTATCATTTAATCTCAGTGATTTGGGAGTTGATGTGAATTTCATTTAAATAAAGAAACAGAATGTTGAGTACATAATGGCATACAAATTTTTGGTCATGTGTTGTGAAATTGATCATTAGAAATGATACAGACTGATGATGGCTATTTCTTAATTRCTTTGGAGACAATACTTGATCTATGATTCACATAAGCAGCTGAATTTTATTTACAGAATAAAGTATTTCTAAGGAGCAATGAAGCGCATGTTAAAATGCTTTCTCTGAGCCAGGTGTGATAGTGTATGCATGTGTAAACCCAGATACATAGGAGGCTGAAGCAGAAGGAGGAGCTCTTGAATCTGGATTTTCAAGACTAGCCTGAGCAACATAGCAAGACCCTCTTGGGGTGCGGGGGAGTTCATTCCTGTTCTGTCTAGTGGTCTATGTTGGCTATTAAAAATGCTAGTGTTGTTAGTATTTCATAGATACTCATAGCATATAAGGTGGATGTAAAGATTTCCTAAAAGTGTTGTTGGGTAAATCCTTCTTTATAATGTKCCTTACCATCTTTACAAACTAAAACCAAAAGTCTTTTAGATTTTTAAACTCATTTCTGAGTACATGGGAAAGTACCATAACACCAAAAAAATAATTTCTGTTTTTATTCATGCTTTCATTAAATTGGATGGGTTTGGGCATTTTGTCTATATAGAGGATTTTAAACTTGGAGCATATTTTATGATATTTATGATACTTTCTAGAATATTAATTTTAAAATATTTTAAAGATAACAAAATCAAAGGTTATTTAAGAGATGACAAGTCATTCTAGTATAAATTATTATTCATATTCTTTTYCATCACTTCGTCACAGTGTGAACATGCTTTTAATGGTATTTTGATTTATCTCATTCTTCATTTAAAATTATATCAAATCTGTATTCCCTTTATATATATATTTCATGATGGACTGAAAGAGAGTGTTTAAATAGATAACAGGTGCCATTCTCTTCATAGTACAAAGCAGGTGATGATGTTAGCTTCTTGGGATGATTTTTGATTGAGTTTAATATCAACTCACATAGTTAATAGCCTGCAGGGGAGGGAACTTTTCCCAATGTTGAGGACAAAGGAGCACAGTTAGAGTACTTAGGAAGTTGGAGCACAATGGGGTCCAGAGACTTGAATAGAAGGAACACCCCTTTTTCTGAAGCTGAAGAGAATTCACTAATATGTTCAGATATAAATTCCTAGGGATATATTTACAAGTGTTTTAGTAMTCCTTTGTAATCCCTGTTACTATAATATTTACTGTTTAATAATCCATCCATGTTTGGAGTAATCGATTTTCTTCTTTTACTGTAAGCAAATCTTTTTTTCCCCMTAATGTCAAATACAGAGAAGTTCATAAAATAGTTCATAGACCTCCCTGAACCTGTAACACATTCAGCAGTTATTCTGATAGCTTTTAAATAATTTTCAAGCTTTTTTTTTAATATTTATTTTTTAGGTGTAGATGGACACAGCACAATGCCTTTATTTTTATGTGGTGCTGAGGATCAAACCCGGGTCCYGCCCTTGCTAGGCGAGCGCTCTACCACTGAGCCACAATCCCAGCCCAATTTTCAAGCTTTTAATGATTTTAAAATATTCAATCCTTTGTGATGATTTTTGATGGAATTAAATAAAATTGATACTATTTATTAAGCAAGCTATCCTTTTCCTGTTAAGATGTGTTTGGCATACTGGTAGCTTTATATGCCACCATAAYGTAGTTTTTAGTTATTTTTKATCTTAAAAGTGTWTCATTGGGCAATTTCTTTATTTTTAGTTCTACTTTTGCCACTCACATTTATATTGAAGATAATTAGGTCATAACTTAAAAATATATATACAAGTGACTGAGTAAAATTTTTTGAGAAATTTTACATATGTTCTGAATGTGAGCCTTTAGGGCAAAAGTGAAGAACAGTGATGTATGGGATAATCATAGGTATAGATAAAATATCTTAGTTGTCTCTTGACTTATAATGACAAAATCATAGATTATAAGCTTTGGAGCCTTCTCATTCCTCCTTTCTTTCTCAGATATACAGAAGAGTCGGACAAGACCCCAAATAAATGAAGTTAGTGGTAGTTAAGCATCTGAGTAGTTCTTAKGTTTATTATGTTTGTTTCTTTAACACTGTTTTAACCATCAACACCCCTGGTATTTTGACCAATATTTGATTTTTGTAGATGCTCTACCTACTTAAAGAAAACAAGTTAAACTAAGCCTAGTTGAGTGAACAGCTTAATGATCAATCACAGTGTGATGGACTTTCAGAGAAAGAGGCATTCCATAATTTGGTGTACACATTTCTTTGTTCTCCAGAGAAGAGATGTTTCAGTGGTACAGTTTTCATGATTTGTATTTGTTTTCTTCTCTCCCATTACAGGTTCATGTCAGGGCTGGTCTTTTTCATGGTACCGAGCTCCTGTGTAAAACCATCGTAAGCTCAGAGATATCAGGGAAAAATGATCACATTTGGAATGAATTACTGGAATTTGATATTAATATTTGTGACTTGCCAAGAATGGCTCGATTATGTCTTGCAGTTTATGCAGTTTTGGATAAAGTAAAAACGAAGAAATCAACAAAAACTATAAATCCCTCTAAATATCAGACCATCAGGAAAGCTGGGAAAGTGGTAATGATATTCTAACTTCTGAAAAATTATTTATACAATAGGATAATTTAAAAACTTTTTGAAATAATTGAGTAATATAAGTTAAATTATATCATTTAGTGTTGGTCCCTAAGACCTGTCTTCAAGAAGTCAGTAAATCTTTATGATTATGCTTTATTAATTCATGTTCTTTTGGCAAATTTATTTTAGTAAATTTCATAATGTGTTTCATGACAAGTATAATATGTTTTGGAAGACAGAGATAAAAGAGAATGAAGATATGTCAAAATAACTGGTCTACAATCTCTTAATCAAAATTCCAGGTGCCAGATATATTTGARAATTCACAATTTTGTGTATTTTAGAAAGATCAGAGATCATACCTCACTCAACATACTTTATGAGGTCTAGGGCACAAATATGTAGTGAAACACATCAGTATTTGGAGTAAAATATATGAATATTCATGCTAAATGTGGCAAATAAAGACTATCATTAGCTTCTTGTCATCTCTGTCCAGCTTTGCTGTCACATTAGTTATGAACAAAATTTTRGTTTTCAGACCTTCTTGGATTTTGAAATCCTAAATAAAGGCTGACATATCTATTCTCATATTTTCATCTCCTATTTCGTATTTTTAATCAAGTGTCWTTCGATTTTTTCTTTTTTAAAAAAAGTTCTTTTGGGGGAGTAAGAATGAATTTTATGTTTTTAAAAATCTAGTCTCTATTTATTTATAAAAATTTGTGTCCTTTTTTTCTTAACATGGGAATTAAGCATTTCCTCTGGTTATTATCATATATTCTAAAAATAAATTTTAATGACTAAAAAGTCACATAAAGTAACTTTCTTAATTTTTATTTCTATCTTTCTTCAGGATTTTTCTCAAAGTGTTTGAGTATTTATGATCCTTTTGATACATCATGGCCAAATTAATGAATCTTCAAATGTCTTCATTAAAGCCCTACTAGTTCAGTGTCTCCTTTTTGGCTATATAAATGAATTCTACAAACCATAGAGACATTGTCTCCTCCCACATTAAGATTTATATAAGCTAAAAGTACTTAAAGCATAACCTGATACTATAGCACTCATTTTTTTTATCATTAAAATTTCCTCATCATTTTCAAAGATTCTATAGGGTATATTCCATTTTATGAATACACTGTTTTATTGTGGTATATTAATTTGCTTTTAGGATTTTCCTTAGCCATTATAAAGGTGTTAAACATTTTGGCAGATAATGTTTTGTTTTCATTTGGGGTGATTTTTTTGGAAATTATTTGGGAATTCAGAAATTTCTAGAACTAACATTGAAACAAAGGGCATAAACATGTTCACACCTTGAAGTTCATTTTTAGCATATTTATCCATTGATTTCTTTTTTCAACAGCATTATCCTGTAGCATGGGTAAATACCATGGTTTTTGACTTTAAAGGACAGCTGAGGTCTGGAGACATAATATTGCACAGCTGGTCTTCATTTCCTGGTAAGATTTACATCTAATCCTTAGTGTTAAAGAGTTACTAGCTTTGGTTTGTTGACTAGTTACTGTATCTTTTATGATTCACTCTTCTTGTATTTTAGTAAATAAACTGTCATTTTGTGTCTTTGTGATATAAAACAGATTTACATAGATTATTTATATACACTCATAAAATGATTTGATTCTTAGTATATTTTTTATTTCAATGAATCTATGCTGTAAACATGTTTAGTTTAGTTTAATGGTGGGGATCGAATGCAAGGTCTTATGCATACTAGGCAAGTGCTCTACCATTGAGCTTTATCCCCAGTTGAAAATATTTTATTTTTATAGTTTTTTAAAAAAATCCTCCTAAGGAAGAATGTCTTTCTTTTTTCTTTTCTTTTTCTACATTTTATTAGTTGTCAAGGACCTTTATTTTATTTATATGCAGTGCTGAGAATCGAACCCAGTGTCTCACACATGCTAGGCAAGCACACTACCACTGAGCCACAACCCCAGCCCAGAATGTCTTAACAACCTTTATTGTTTCTAGTTGTGCTAACTAGTACTAACTAGTAGAAGGAGCATTTTCTAAAATGGGATAGGTAATAAAAACCCTTATTAAAATTGGCTTTAGTCTAAAGTTTGAGGTAAGTAGAGTCCTTTCCACAGCATTTCTCAAATATTACTTAAAAACCCTGATCAAATGAGATAATTTATTATCTTTTTACWGATGAATAAAGTAAAGATCACAAAGTATAAGTCAATCTTGCCTTATTGATCCACACTTAGAATTTGAATGAAAGACTGCTCTTTCCATTATTCTATACTGCTTTACTCAAAATTTAGAAATTTTAATGTCAAGTTTTTATTTATAATAGTGTTTTTATTTCTCATTTTCTGTCTTTATAGTTTGTTAATGTGTTTGGTAACATTGTGGAATTTGGGGGGAGGAGTGTACTGAGTATTGAACCCAGAGGTACATTACCAGTGAGCTACATCCCCAGCTCTCTTTTTATTATTTATTTTGAGACAGGCTAAGTTGCTTAGGGTCTTACAAGTTGCTGAGACTGGCCTTGAACTTGCAATCCTCCTTCCTCAGCCTTCTTAGTTGTTGGGACTATAGGTTTGCACCACCACACTTGGCAACCTTGTTAACTTATTAGATTTTTTAGAGTATTTTGTGACAGACATTTGAAAATGTTATTTTAGGAGTTGCTACCTGATAAATTATTTTTTGATAATTAGTTATTTCCTGACACTTAAAAACTCTATGCAAGCCACCCATAGTGGCACATGCCTATAATCCCAGCAGCTCTGGAGGCTGAGACAGGAGAATCATGAGATCAAAGCCACCCTCAGCAAAAGCAAGGCGCTAAGCAACTCAATGAGACCCTATCACTAAATAAATTACAAAATAGGGCTAGGGATGTGGCTCAGTGGTTGAGTGCCCCTGAGTTCAATCCCTGGTAAACCCCCCCCCAATATGTAATATAATACGTGTGTGTGTGTGTGTGTATGTAAATAAGCACTTGTGTGTATCTTATATCTACCCTCTGCTGCTTAAACTTCCAATAATATTCACTAATCATGCTATTCCTCAAATATAGGAGAGCTATGAGTATTTGACACATTTCTAATGATGAGCTATATTTTCACAATAGAGTGAAAATTATACTTTCTTGAAAATCCCACTCTCACACATGTGCTCAGAATATACAAACAACTTGATAATTATCATTATCAATGAAAATGATGATTTTTTGATGGTATTAACGTAGCATTACCTTGAACCTGACTTCATCTCTTAAGAAAATRTATGATAAAAATAATAAATGAACAGAATTAGCTTTGCCTGTATCAGCTCTAGAATTGTTTATTCCAACAGAGGCAAACAAGAAACAAAGCAACTACAAATAATCTGTCATCCAAAGTCCCTAGGTTTTCATTGCAAGCTATATAATCACATTTATTGGTTTCTTTTGTATCTTTCCAGAATTCTTCATGTATGTACACTAGGAAATACAAATGTAGATTTCTATTTTTGTCCCTATTCTTATACAAATTAGAATTTTCTAATCAGTGTGCATAGAGAATTACCTTTTTGTTGTTGTTATGAGAATTAGCTTTTGATACTTCAAATAATATAATGAAAAACCTTGCCCTATGTGCAGATATATGTCTAAAGTAAATTCCCAGAAGTGGRTTTTTTTTAGTCAAAGAATAAATATATTTGTAATTTCAATAATTATAAATTACTCTCCAATAGAAATTGTACCAATTTTTACTCTAAAAGTACTAAAACCCTACATTTGACTTCAGATAGGTTCAGATATGTCCTATCTGATTTCAAATGATGCACGAATTAGTGTAATGCTGCTGTAGAGCACAACTGTGGGATTATAATTTACTGATAAATCAACTCTGAAAGTGTATAAATAATCAGAACTGGCTTCCATCAAGGTAAAAATTTAATCTATAAGACTAGAAAATCTTAAATAAGATGAACAAAAGATTAAAGAAATGAAATTTATAGTTTTCCTACCCATTTTTTCCCCTTGGCACTATGGATTGAACTCAAGGATGCTCTACCACTGAACTAAACCCCTAGCCCATTTTGTTTTTATTTTGAGACAGCTTCTCACTAACCTACTGAGGCTGATCTTGAACTTGGAATCCTCCTGCCTCTGCCTACTGAGTAGCTGGGATTATAGTTGTGCACTACTGTGTCTGGCAACATTTTGTGTCTTAGGGAAATCATTCCAAGTGTACATACTTTATGGACATTAGGTCTAGAAAGAATGGACTTTTTTATTTTATTTTATTTTATTTTATTTTATTTTAGAACATACAGAAAGAACAACTATTATAAAAAATCATAAGAAAACAGATGTTACTTTAGAGAGGGGAGACCTAAAATTGTACTCTTAACTCTATTCTCTCATCTGAAGTTTACTTATCTGTTAAATTAGAAAGTTATATTGTCTGAACTTTAGGGTTTTCTTGCAATCCTAAGATTACATGTTCAAATCCATGAATGGACCATGGTTAGGTTGGTGGAGAAGAAAGGAAGGAGTGTCTTGAGGAAAAATGTGACTGGTAAGGTAAAAAGAGTACCACTTGGAAGGAGTACTGCAGAGACACGAGAGAAGTTATTTGTATTAGGAGTTGCAGGATAATAAAGGGAACATTACAATGTAGATTTGACAAGAGGAATGTCATTGACTCTTTGAATATCATCGTGGATACTGTAGTGATCGTGAAAACCAGATCATATGTGATTAAGAGGTTCACATGGAGAGAGAGCCTGCAGAACRGCAGAAAACCTTTGCCACCATGCACTTCAGAGCATGAATCTCCAGGATATATAAAGAACTCAAAAAAAAAAAAAAACTTAATACCCCCAAAACCAAATAACCTAAATAATAAATGATTTAAAGAACTGAACAAGCACTTCACAGAAGAAGAAATACGATCTCTCAACAAATATATGAAAAAATATTCAACATCTCTAGCAGCTAAAGAAACACATATTAAAATTACACTGAGATTCTATCTCACTGAAGTCAGAATGGCAGTTATCAAGAATACAAGTAACAATAAATGCTGGTGAGGATGTGGGGGAAAAGGTACACTTATACATTGCTGATGGGACTGCAAATTGTTGCAACCATTTTGGAAAGCCATATGGAGATAACTCAGGAAACTTGGAATGGAACTACTATTTGACCCAGTTATCATACTCCTTGGCTTATACCTAAAGGACTTAAAGTCATCATACTACAGTGACGCTGCCACATCAATGTTTATAGCAATTCAGTTCACAATAGCTAAACTATGAATCAGCCTAGTGTCCTTCAGCAGATGAATGGATAAAGAAAATGTACATATACAAAATGGAATACTACTCAGCCATGAAGAGAAATGAATTATGGCATTTGCCAGCAAATGGATGGAAATGGAGACTATCATGCTAAGTGAAATAAGCCAATCCCAAAGAACCAAAGGCCAAATGTTTTCTCCTATATGCAGATTACAAATCACAGTAAGGTGTGGGTAGGGAAGACTAAAAGTTCATYGGATGAGATAAAGGAGAATTAAGGGAAGGGAAGGGAAATGGGAATAGGAAAGARAATAGAATGAATCAGATATTACTTTCCTGTGTGCTATAAGAGTACACAACAATGTAATTCCACATAATGTACAACCAGAAGAATGGGAAGTTATATTCCTTATATGTATAATATGTCAAAATGCATTCTACTGTCATGTTTAACTAATAAGAAAAGCAACAAAAAGTCCACACGCGGTGATAAAATGGTTTCTGTGGGTTACCTAATTTTGATATAGGGAGAGCAGTTCCGGTTAAGCTTTTTTCAGAGTCAAGAGCCTATTCAATATGAAGAAGGAGGTAAAGTATTTATTGATTTTTGTTAACTTTCTTATTTTAAAGATGTGTACAAACTCATACAGAAACTTTATTCCAAGCTCTAATAGAAAGCTGGAGACTTATTGATAGAACCATCTGCCAGACTTTCTTAAGTGACAGTACTGTTTGTGTCATTTACATGGGAGAAATACCGTACAGTTTTGTTTGGGGTTGGGGGATACCAGGAATTGAATTCAGGGGAACTCAACCACTGAGCCACATCCCCAGCCCTATTTTGTATTTTATTTAGAGACAGGGTCTTGCTAAGTTACTTAGTACCTTAGCTGTTGCTGAGGCTGGCTTTGAACTTGAGATCCTCTTGTCTCAGCCTCCCAAGCTGCTGGGATTACAGGCGTGTGCCACTATGCCTGGCTCAGTTTTGTTTTTGTTTTTGTTTTTAGTTTAGTTTTGAAAATGTTTCTTAAGAATCAAAATTATTTGCATGTTTTAGATGAACTTGAAGAAATGTTGAATCCTATGGGAACTGTTCAGACAAATCCATATACTGAAAATGCAACAGCTTTACATATTAAATTTCCAGAGAATAAAAAACAACCTTATTATTACCCTCCTTTCGATAAGGTAAGCTAATTATTTAGAGGACCACTGTGCATGAAATAATTTAAAGTGTTATTTCCTGGCTCTGTATGTTTGCAGTTTGAGCTCAACATGTCTACTTTGCCTTAAAACTTAACATGAGTTAATAGTTTGGTTCAGTAACAAGCCCTATGAGTTCTGGTGATATCATTGACCAAGTAAGGCATGGCTTCTGGAGTTCAGGTTCCTCAGTTATGAAGTGACAAAATTGTAATTGTTCTGAAATCATTTTCAATGTAAAAAGGCCATAAATACATTAATATGTAACTGAACACATAGATATGTTTCACTGAACATTTTAACATGTTGATTCAGAGATTAAAGACAAAATCACTATTGTTTTAGAGTTGATATTCAAAGACTGGATTATTTATGTTGAATATTACTATTTGTAGGACTTCTTAAGGTGGCATTTGTATAGAGTCTACATAGGTACTTCCATTTACAAATATATTTTTTTAGTATGTGAACTGTATGTCTTAAGGATAAGGAGATTATCTGGTGAGGACTGAAAATAGGACTTTGATAATTTTTATGTTTAGAGAGCTAAGATGTCATATTTTTATCTTCAGGTTTGGCATCCTTGTTTCAGACATGGTTGATGTGGATTTTTATGCAGAAATTTTGAACAAATTCTCAAAAAATAAACAAGTTTCCTTTTTTCTTAATCCAATTGAGAATAAGCTGCCTTTAAAGATGTTTTACTAAACAATATTACAAATTAATCCACATTWAACTTAATTGCATTTTAATATTTAACACTAAATCCTGTAGAGTTGTTGTTTCACATGGGAGGTATTGGGCATTGAACCCAGGAGCCTCACCTATGTTAATAAGCAAGCATTYTACCACCAATCTGCATCCCCAACACTAAAGGAGATGTTTTAAAAGTATTATATACATTTAATTTATGTAATTCGGTGTTTTTTATATCATTTTCACTTTAATTTGATTTTATCTACCCAAGAGGTAACTTTTCACTTCAGGTCCTTTAAGAATGCTTTTCTGACTGATAATTTACAACCAAATTAAATTTTGTGTTTCTTATAATTGAAATCCCAAATATGGTAGGACCCATATCCTTTAGTATGCATTAAGTAGAAAAAAGTACATTTTGACTCATCCATTGTGTTCTTGTGGTGATTTTAGTTGACCATGGATAGAAATTTCTCCATAAGCTATAACTGCTTATGCTACATTTAATATAATGATTGTTACTGTGTTCAGTTATGGTTTGTATTCAACAGTCAATTATAATTTACTTGGGATCAAATGACATGGTTTTTGAAGCATTTTTACAAATATAGCATCCATGTAAATGTAAGTGGATTTAATCTAAGATTTTAAGAGAAGTCAAGGTTTTTTTTAATTTTTTTTTTT